CGTCATCGTTTTTTCTCGGAATTCATGTTTCTACCTTTTTTAGCAATAATATTTTCATTTTGTTTTTAAAAAACAGAGTGTCCAAAGTTTCCGACCAAAATAGTTCTAGCAGCTCATTTTTCACAACCGGCTTTTACCCAAGTCAAGGTCGACGCCACGACATCTTTTGTTCCGAGTGAAGTTTCTCACCAACTCAAGTGTTTTCCAGAAACGCCAGCGCCCCATGCGGTTTGACTTGACGGCGAAAATAGCTACGCGAGTGACGTAAGTGGGGAGAATGGATGAGGGCAGACGGGGGGCCCCTGATAGTTACCTCGCCTGTGAATGCACCAGAACCCTTCCCTTAAACTGAGAAAAGTTTCCCAAGTTCATGGAAATTCGATCTTAAATCTATGACGCCCGTTTCTAGTTAGCATAACCCCTGGCTTGGCAGCTCGAGGTGCTGCCTACCATTTGATCAAATCGCAAAATCAGGTCTTGTTCAAAGCAATCAAGTTTTCCTTCCATCAAAGACAGATTATTAGCACCAGAATTGCACTGAGAGGTGAAATACACCTTTATGTCCGCTTTTTAGCCTTTCAATTCACTTGCAAGGGGCAAAGCGCATTCAACCGCATGGAGGTGTCCGGGCGCTAGTCAGATGCATGGCGCACTCAAAAAAGTTACACCGTTGGGCGCTTTGTATTACATGTTCTCTTTGTCGGGCTTGATCTTGAGTATTCCCGAGCTTCTCTCTTCTTTTAATCCTCTTCATTGAGGTCCTGAAAAACGACGAAATTGTCGGAGTGTTAGGCCGCCTTAACAAATTTACCTAACTATTATATCAGCCTCGAACGTCACATTCAAATAACACACATGTATTTTCGGCTTATTTGGTGACTTTAAATTCACTAATTTGTGCCTGGTAAGCCATTGAAGTCTATTACTGAAATTAGGGCATGCCCATCCATCCACTACTTGAAATATTTTCTTCCTTCTCATTTCCATGGTTTGTTTTTCATTTTTTTTCGGAGCACCTTTGAGGGCAAAAAACAAAATTTAAAATCAAAATAATTATGTATGGGGCGGAAGTGGTGTAGTGGCAAGTGGCACGCTTACCACGCGAGCGGTCCGGGGATCAAATCCTGGGTCGTGAGTCGCCCGGGCCAACCAAGCCTTCCATCCCTCCGGGGTCGGTTAATTGGTACCAGACTTGTCTGGGAGGATAAAAACACTGACTTGTACATCGGCTGGCCCCCGCAAGTCATTGTATAGGCCACATCGCATTCAAACGCCACTACGAATGTACAAATGGAAGTAGAATGCGTGCCGCATCCCAAAAAGGGATTGATCAACGGCAAATGCTTTATCCTTTATCCTTTATTCGTGTCAAGACCATGAGTATCTCCTGTCGACTCTCCTCATCCTAGCGATTCCGCCACTTCTACCTTTTCTATTGATTATAGGAACCAGCAGGGTTTTTGTTTAGTGTAATTGTTCACAGTACTTAACTCGAGCATTTTAGCATCGGCAGCAACCCTGCCATGCCTGGACGACTGTCTCTGTGAAAGGGATGAAGAGAGTCCACTGATTCGTTGCGAGAATGGCCAACGACAAGCGCTTGAAATTCCCAGCCATGAAATGAGTGGATACCAGTATATCGGTAAGTTTTGATCAGATATTATTTTATATTATACTATACATATACTTTGTCTTCACGTTAGCGCACTCGAGTTTTGATTGCCGCTTATTTGGTTGGAAATATCCCGTTTCGATTATGAGCTACATTTGTTGATGACTTTGATTGCTGTTACAAAGTTATAAAATAAGGGAACCTGGTCAAATCGTCCATGTCTGTCCGTACCAAATCTTCCATCCCTTTTTGTTGCGGGGTATTCGACATATTGCCTAGAACGCAGAAACTTGATCGCCTCATATGAACACAATAGAGGCTCTGCATGTCTCCACATAATATTCATCAAGCACGAGTCGTGATCGAGGCTCGTGTAATTGCGATGAGGAAAATTGCTGAGAGAAACGCTAGCACAGCGCCATAAACAAGAAACACTGTAATTCCAATAAACATTCCATGATTCGCTCTTGGAACCTGGCATCGATATGTGAATCTTGTCCTTTGCAGAAGTGACACACTAATGTTCCCTTTCTGAGTCAGCCATGGTATAATAGGAGACACACGCTACCGAGGAAGGAGGGCAAACGCGAGCAAGCAAACGGTACGTAGGCCAGAGGCGCAGTGCTACGCTAGCGTGTTGACAGGAGAACGGGAGCGTGCCCAGCGGTCAAACGAAGGCGTTGGACCCCATTTCGCTCGCTTTCAGTCACGACAGCCGCCACCAACATGCGTTATGGGTTTAACTACGTTCACCAGGCAAGATTTTGCGCTCGAGTTGTGTCTGTGTCAACCGGTGCCTTTAAAAACCAAACATGGTCTAGAAATTTTGGCACCGTGTTATGCTACTGCTCTGAATTCTATATGGAATTCAAGCTTGGCTGATTTTTATCACTTTTTTCGTTTGATGTTTTCCCTTAGTAATTGTAAGGTGATCCCACTTTAGTTGCGCAGTAACTATATTTTTGTATTCCATTTACATGACCCTGAAATCCCACAGTTCAATGGGCGCAAACATGTGAAGTATGCTTAGCAAAGCAAGCGCTATCACTGTAGCGTGAGCCTTGATTAACTTGTTATGAGTTTCTTGTGTATTGTTTATACAATTATTATTGTTTTACGGTTTTATTTTTGGGAATAGAACACCGCTTGAAAATTACTATCCAGCGAAAAACAACAAAAACAAAAATACATGTTTCTCTCCGCAAAAAATGAAAGCGGATTTATATATCTATGTAAATTTATTGTGGTTTTCTTGGAAACGTTCTCTATTACTTCAAAGCATTTTCAACTTTTAGCTTTCACCTGTAATGATCTACGACAGCTTCCACCAGCAGCGCTTCTCAAGGCTGCCTTCCCGGATCTTCAAGTTAGTAGGATGTGCTTCATTTTAACTGCCCAGAAGGCTATGTTTCAATCAACTAAAACTGAATGGATTGATTTGCTTTTCGTAGCTTTCTCATATCTCCAAGATTGACTGATCCGCAATGGCTCGCTTAGGTCACGTTCATAGTCGGCGACTCAATGGCGCCACGAGTCGCTCAATTGAAGCGCGCAACATCACGCGACTGAATCGCCAACTATGAACGGGACTTTGTGAGCAAATTTGCGCTGACCGATGACCGACTGTTTGTGCATTTTGACGAGCCTCTAATCATGCGTAGTCATTTGGAAGAGGCGCTCTAAACATTTTTCAGGTTTCTAAAGGTAACGTGGCCACCTAACTAATGTTCTCATTTCAGGGTATCGATATCCAGGGCAACCCGTTGTTCAACTGTTCGAGTCTGGCCAACATCCGCGAAGAAATCGCCATTCTCACCGATTGTGACGCTGACACAAAACCGATCAAGTGCGATGTTATCGATAAGGTCAGCTACGAATATAGCTACTTTTCCTTGGCTATAATTGTTTGTCTTGGTAATGCTTATTATAATTTTTGTTCAGGAGTGTGACTGGAAGTGCAAGACGTTGAGTAAGCTGCGTGAGCTTTGGAACAAAGTCAAGAAAAGTTTCATGTCGAAGATGAAAGAATGGGGAGCAGAAGAGGTGAGACGTTCCATTCAACAACCAGTTCCTATGCTGGCCATAGTGAAAAGGGTCAAGGATCCGCCGATGAAACGTCGATGTGAAAAATCTATAATAGTTGACATGTTGGAGGGATAGGTCATCCAGTTCTTGGCGAATTCTGGTACACTTTAGACACACCTTCCCACAGAACGATCTGCCTTTGAATCCCTTACTCTTGCCCTTCTTGAACTGTGCCTATGTATATTATATACGCATCATATACTAACAATTACTTCTCGTGCTGAAACTCGAGTGCATGGCGCAATCCAAGATGAAGCTCCTTCGAAGCGCACCTACTTTTGGTTTCAACGAGCTAAGTTGACGGTATTTTCGGATTTGGGGTCTCCCTGTTTTGGACCGAAATAAGGAAAAAGCCGATTTCGTATTTTTTGCGTGAATTCACGTACTAACCCTATGCATATAATTGTGCGAGGAGCGCTGCACAATTTTATAGGGTACATTGAGACGATACCCCCTCACGCCCACGGTACCAAGGGCCAGTCTCGTTAGGATGGGAAGGGATATGACTCATATCATGGCAGTGGTCACCTCCACTCGAGTATAGTTTTTACTTGTAAAAAGGCAATAAAGTATCAAGGGTGGAGCGCCTGATTGTGGCCAGTCCCTTTCTGGGATGGGCCATGCATTGTACTTCTATTCTTCTAGTGGCATATTGAATGGATATGGCCTTATAGAGGGACCAACTGGGGCCAGCTGTACTCCGCAAATTGGTAGTTTTTTCCTTCAATATAATTCTGGCAACAACTAATCGATCCTGTAGGGCTGAAAGGTAACCTGGCGAGACCGGGATCGAGGTTGATCTCTAGACTATGCGCGTGGTAGTGGAGCCGCTTGCAAC